AAGCAATGATGATGATACGTTCTGGGAATTCCAGACGTATGGTGACACAAGGAATTGCATATTCACGGGGCTGAGTGAAACTGTGTCATTACATTTACAAACTTCTATATGGTTGTTAGGCATGGGATAGAACTGTTAGAAATTCAATATAGATATATTTATTTGACTTACTTCTTACCTTTTTAGTGTTAAATCAGGCAAGATGGCTGATTCCAGGTTTTTCTTAGCCCTTTCTCAGTGGTCTGCCCTAATGGAAACACGTGGGGCTGAAATTTGAGGATTGTGTTTTATTTGATAAGCTTTATTAACATAAATTTAACAAGCCACCTCAGACCTCTCGCCTCTCACAGCCCCTCCTAACATTTCAAAGAAATAGAAGCAAGAAGAAATTGTAACCCTTAAAACCCTAACCCAAGTAACATTTTTTTACTTAATGCTATGTGAATGGGAACATGTAACCGGGATAAAATTGTGTTTATCCCAATTTGGGTGCAAAAGTGGAAATAAACTTTAACCAAACTCTTCAGAAATTTGAGCTCTGGCTCCATGAAACATAACTTCCAAATGTTTTTAAGGAATGTTCCATTTGTCGACCTTTATATTTTTTTATACACAGAAGCGGTAGGTATAAACTACCCATAAGATAAGTAGTACAGGAAACTGGATCTTCTACTTTGGGAGGCCTATTAATGTTTACTTTTTTTACTAGACAATTTATGCCTGTTGGAGAGCTCAAGTGTTATTTAAAAATACTATTCTTTATTATTCTATTACCTTGCCAGCATTCACAGGTTATAAAAGTCAATGTTTGCTAAGCTTACTGATATTTGTTTCTGGTATTGTATTGTAAGCAAGGGCAGTTGAGTGATCCAGTTTGTAGCAAATATTTATTAGAAAAGGACTTGTTGGTCCGTACACTGGCGCCAAGAGCCAGTCAAGTACAAATATCCAGTTGGAAAATAAATGTAGCACTTGTTTTACAGTAAATCGGTCAGTACCATAAAGGTACTATTTAGACTGTGGCAGTAAAATGTAGCCACCAAATGTCTATTGAATGTTACCATCAATACAGGATTTAATCTATCTGTAACCATCTATATTTGTTTTCCTCAATACCAACAGGCAACTTTTAGCTTGTGGTCACTGCGAATAAGTTAGTATTCTTCTACTTGTAGTAGATCAAAATAAGTGATCACTTTTACTGAGCACATTTAAATGTATGCACCTACAATCACAAAGTATATTATTGCATTCATGTTCGCTTATTAAAGCTGAACTATGGGCACATAAATGTTCATTTAAATATATTCATCAATAGCCATCAAAGATATAATGAGCAAACCCTGCAGACCCAAATAATACCTTGTAAATGTAGCACTGACATCATCACTGAGCAGTACATAGCCTGTGCAGACAACAGAGCTGTGAGAGTTACCCAACAGTCCCACCCACTACAGGCTGCCTGCAGAAAACTACAGGAGGGAGCGGAGACGAGACCAGTGCACAGTGCACAAGGAGAGAGAGCAGCAGTGATCGGTCTTTATTACAGGAAGCTTCTGCTCAGAGGCAAAGCTTCACACTGAATTACTGCACAGATCTGGAAGAAATGCACAAAGCACACCATGATTTAAGTGCATGCCTTTGGTATTTAGACCATATTTACTTTTCCTGAAGTTCAGCTTTAAGCTTATTTTGCTTTATGTTGGTGCACATTTGTATGTTAATAAAGGCATAGTTCTTTTTTGTCCTGCATTTGGGCTTGACTTAGAACTTTTGGGTGAGGGAACTGCAGTGCTTTTTTTTCTTCTGTGGTTTAAAAAAACAAGCATTACGCTGAAGCAGACCATTTTGCAGAATTTTTTTCCCACCTTAGTTTGCAAAAAAGGAGGACTTGGGAGTGAATTGTAGTTGATTGTCTGGCCCTGTACATTTTGGTTTCAATCTGGACCATGTTAGATGATCCGAACACTAGTGCTACACTTGTGTTATATTGATTGGCAGTCAGCATGTATTAATTGTTACTTTGAAAAGGAATTATTCTCCATATAAAACAATGAGTAGTTGTTACACAGCATAGACAGATAAATGATATTGTAATAGTTGCACTTGAAAGCAGTTTAGGCTTAAACTCTTATCTGTAGATTACCTGTGAAAAGTTTGTTCATACAAATGTCAATAATAATGTTTTGTTCTGACTACTGGCATCATTATGAGGATTTTCCAAGAAATCTACACCTGGAATTGTTAGCTAATCTTGATAACTGTATTATTCTTAATGAATAGTAATGTGTGGCCTTCCTGTTTGGTTCTTATAAAACATGCCTGTTTTCCGTGTTGGTGCCAGTATTTATTTACTCTGTAGGAACCTGCGTCAGATATGTGAAAATTTGTTTATTGAGTATGAGACTTTAATTTCCTATTGGCACTCATGACTGCATCTAGAAGAGTTTAACAGTCAACCTTAGTAAGACCAGGGCCCAGTAAATGATTTCAAAAGCTTTCGTGCCCCAACAGTAAGGAAAGAAAGCTAATACTTAAAAAGCTAATACAATAAAAAATATGGGTATGCAAAATATGTATTAAATAGGGCGTTATCAGCTGAAAATATGAGTTGCTGTTATTTAAATAAAGGGGAATTGATCAAAACTGTAGCAAACAGAATCTGGAGCAGTTGGCAAAAAAGAACACGGTACTGATCCTAAGAGGAATCAGACCACAGTTGTTATAGAGGGTCGGAGTTGCCACTTCGTTCAATAAAAAAGACACTTTATTTGAACAGTATTGAATGATTGCACATGAGTTAGACCATATGACATCAAACCCCCATCTTACTATAGAGTTAAAACAATAGTGTGAATAACATTGCCTCACTCCCACACACTACTTACTCACACGGACTAGCTGATAAAATTCATGATTGATGGCCGGTGGAGCTCAAAGGAAGAAAAGAAAAAAAAGAGTATCCAATTGCAACCTATGAGCGTTATTTGCAAAACTTAACTGAACAAGCTGAAGAAAGAAGCTGATTGGTTACTATGGTTTGTTTAACTCCGCCAGATTTTGTCTGCTCCAGTTTTGATAAATTCCCCCCATGTATCTATTTAAACCTTTCTCTCCCTCTCCCTCCCTCCCATTCTCTTTTCTGGGGGTCCAGGGAGGCATGTGCTGGTTGGGGGATGGGGTGGCATGTATTTTGAGTCAGGGTTGATGAGGTGTGCTGTGAATAAGAAGGTGATGGTGGCTGCGGACCAATATGCTATGGGCATGGGGTAAAGCAGGTGGGTAGTTTTGCTGGATACCTGCTGATGGTTGGTATTGAAGGGAGAAGATATGTTGGATACCTGCTGTAAGTGGGAGTAGTGATGATGTGCTAGATATCTGGTGTGTGTGTGTGAGAAGGGGTAAGATGTGCTGTTGCATCCAGCACATCCCACCCTCGCTTCCCAATGTGTGAGTGGGATAGATGTGTTGCAGATCTTCTATGAGGGGGATGGGATGTGCTGGATATATGCTGGGCTGCATACCTGCTATGTGCTGCTATCACATCCCTCAGTTCCAGTTCCACAATCTTCACCGCTCTAGCTCACGGAGTGCTCAGGAATGTGGGCGGGATCTCCCATGGACTGGCTGAGACAGGAACTAGAGCTGGATGTTAGAGGAGAAGCTCAGTGTCAGATGGGAACGTCCTCCGAGGCATTTTTGTACTTGGTGGTAGTTGAATAGCCTTGAAGTAAATAAATGAAACAGCCTCAGTCCCACAGTTATTATACAGGATTTATATAGCGCCAACAGTTTGTGCAGCGCTTTACAATATAAGGAAGACATTACAATCACAATACAATTCAAGACAAGATTGTAAGGATACCCAGGGTTCTAGATTAAAATGTTACCGTAAGCTTTTTCTACCTTTTTTGGCATATCAATTGCATTGAAAGCTGCGGAGAAAGCTGTGGTGTTACTGCTGGGTTCTCTTGATGAAGAACTATAAATAATGTGCCCCAGATTTGTTTTTAGAGAAAACATGCTACTGTCTTGAAAGAAATGAATCCCAAGGCTCCAACCATGAATTGCTGGAAAGTTTGTCAATAAAAGTTATCTTGTTCGAAAGAATACTGTATACAAATCGTGATTGTTCTAACACATTTCAACATATTTGAGGTTTGTACTATGATTTTCCAACTGCTCTGACCTTGCTGGTGGACAACCATGGCAGTTTTACTTATTACTGGAAGATGTTTCAAGGTTTTTTTTTTTTTTTTTTTTTTAAATCCAGAAGTATGCAAGAGACATATGCAAGGTTTCTAAAAGGTTAAAGGCGATCTAACTTTTGTAGATAACATTGAGACAAGTACTAGTTGAGAAGCTAGCTCTCCAACACCAGAGGATGGAGCAATATCTACCCAGATAGGTGGACTGAGCAACAGCACTTGCATTGATGCTTGCCAGATGCTGACAGAAATACAATCTCGGACCTCTAATCTTTCACTTGCCTAGCAGAGTGATGAATTGGACTCTTCTTGCAGAGAGTTTTCCCCAAAAAGGTGGTATAATCCACCTGAATTCCTCTGCTGTCAGAGCTGCACATTATCATTGTTGCAAGTATTGCTCCAATTTGGGAATATTACTTACTTTTCTCTGGTGCATCTCTGTTTTTATTACCTGCATCCATGTTTGCCAAACATTGTATTACTTTGTAGAATACCTTTTTAAATTAGTGCTAATATCCACTTTATTTGATCTGTTTTTGCTAAACTGTTAAACAAAACTGTTAAGTTTAACACACAAGTTTCCTTTGAAGAAGATATAGACAATAAGGTTTCTTAAGGAACATAAAGTTATACAGGGATATGCCTAACATTAATCCGTGTGTCCACAAAAACACATTGTTTAACTTTAATTCCCTATATTTATACAAAAATGACTGGTATTTTAATTTGAATGGCCAAGAAAATATTTAATGTTTTGTGAAGCAGCTGTCTGAGTGATGTGTTTATTTTTAGGCTGATTTGAAGTCCAATGTTATGTCAAGTAGAGGAAACCCCATAGATTATCAGTACAGTAAGTAACATTTCCAAATTGTTATATTTACTTCTAATCTATAATTACCCTGAAAATGTTTTTTTTTTCTTTAGTTGCTATAACGCTGTAGTTATTTTAGTTATGGAGACCTTGTCACCGAACCATTTATCTAAAGAACAGTCTTTCTATAAGGTTATTTGTGCATTTAACATATTATAGGAATGTTATTTACCGGTAAAAGCCTCCCTTGTGTAGATTCCCAAAAGCCCTGGGACTGTGCTGAGCGCCATCATCTTGAATGTGATGTCAGCAGCCCCAGTAGACTCAGATTTGTCACTCAGATGGCACGCTACAGTATTCCCCTTTACTCCTCTCCCTGGAAGCTGCCTAAACGTTTATGTGGCAAGATGAATGGAGGAGTAAAGGAGCAGCCAACACAGAGGGTAATTAGACACTCACAGAAGGGTAGGGGTCTTTGCTAGGGAATTTACTTTTCTGAAGAAGTCAAATTTGCTAGCAAATTGCGAGGCACATTGCAAGTTGATAAAAAAAATGTTAATGGAAAGAAAAATTCTGCAAATAAGTATTAAAAATACTTGATTTTTCTGCGCTTTTACATGCAATTTTATTAAGCTTGTGACAGGGTGGGTCATTTGAGCATTTAGTGTAATGTGTAATCCCCTTGTAGCGTTAGTCTCCACAATATGTAACTTAGCCAAGTTGTATTCTTATGGCCCCTTTCACACATGCATTCCAATCAGGTCCACCTGTCAGTTTTTCATGTGGACCTGGTAAGAAGCCCAATGTTAGTCTATGGGCAGCAGTATCTAAATGTAAGGGCGTCCTTTTACATCTGGTTACCTCCAACTCCGGCCAGGTCTGCAAAAGCAAATGGAACAGTGTTCAGTTTCGCCGAAACTGATTGTACCGGATTGGGGTAATCTGATGTGAATGGACACCTGTCAATTTTCATCCAACTCTCAATTGACCAACATGGGTCCGGTAATTTCGGTTTTCCCCTCTATCGCAAGATGGAGGAAAAAACTTGGTGGTCACGGATGTCACAATGGGAACATCCATTCCAATCAGCAGGGGATTCGTGCACGCATACCCTCCTGATCAGAACTGAAGGCAACCACGTGAAAGAGGCCTAACTTGACACAATCAGCAATAAGTGCATTTTTTAGTAGTTTGGTGAAGAGTTACAATCTCTTTTTTTGGCTTTTATTGCTGTATATGTTCCCATTGGGAAAGTTTACCCACTCTTTCATATTCTTACCTATTTTCTATGATGTTGGGTGTCACTGGACAATTAAGTAAGGGAAAATCTTCCCAATGGGTACTCTAGCAGCAATAAAAAAAATGAGATTCTAACCCTTACCCTATCCAAAAAAGATTTGTTGCTGGAGTTGGATTAGACTTAATTCTATGAAATCTAATGCATGTTTTAATTAGACTTAAAAGTGCAAAATCCATTTGCAAGACCATGCTGTAAATATGTTCTAATATATTAATGTTTTGGTACCTACTGAGATGTTGTAATGCTGTGAATATGTAGATTCTACACCTGACAAACCACAGTAATTTGTTAGCAGATCACCAGCATACTGTCTATATGCAGAGTACCCACTAGTGGCTGAAAATTCTCATGACAGTCTCTGTACTTCTGAGTCAATACTTTTTAACCAAAATCCTTTTATCTGTATTTGAAGTCTTTAAGCCAGTTTCTGCATCAGCAAGGCTTTACATCAACCCTAATGCAGAGCTAGAACTGCAGGCACCAAAGTTAGACTGGAACATGGAAATTCAACATGTCGCAATAGAACTGACCAAACCACAGGTAAGTAACAATCAAGATGTACTGCACTGTGATAATCCACAATATCTCTTGCAGGTTGGACATATTTTGGGTTTATTAACCCTTAAGGAGCTTCTTTATGCATTTACAGTGTATGCATCGGGAAGTGTACTAAAAGTATAAATTGCTTTAATATGTTTATTGCTGCTATTTTTATGCACTCCTCTGTCTCTTGTGAAGTCTAATAAACATTGTCTTGAGACGATGACATTCACTATGTTAATGTATTGAAAATGTGTCCCGGTTCATGAGTGGCTTAATTTAGACTAGTTTAGAATAATGTTGGCCTCTAATTAAATGAAAACATGCTGATATGTATTACTGCTCAATCAGTAAATATTTTAGTTGGACACATATTATTTGGTTAAGTGTGCCATCTCATGACAGCTGGTCATGGGGGAAAACAGAGTGCGGGTTCGTTGTAGAGCTGGGGGACTCGGAGGCAGAGAGGTAACTGATCATGAACCAATAAGAGAAGAGAGTGTTGGGGCTAATAATTGACCATGGTCTATGAGGAGGTAAGGAAAAAAAAAGCTGAATGGCGATTGCTTGTGCACCAGGGACACGCATGATTCATGTTAAAGGTTATCATGGCAGGGGATGGCGAGATGAGAGAAACAGCTGTAGACGGTAGTAGTAAAACTATCAGCATGTAGTGTGGCTGGTGGGTTTTGAGTTATCAGTGAATGTAGTATGGACAGTGGTAATAAGCCTATTGGAGAATTTAGTGTGAATACTGGGGGTTGACCTATTAGTGATTGGGGTGTGGATAGTGGGGGTAGAGCTATTGGTGAATTTGGTGTGGACATCGGGAGTAGATCTATCAGTGAATGCAGTGTGGATGGTAGGGACAGATCTACTGGATATAGTAGTGTGGATGGTGGAGGTAGAGCTATCAGAGGATGTAGTGTGGATGGTGGTGCTATCAGGAAATGTACTGTTGACGTGGGGAAGGGGGGTAGGGCTAGTAGCGAATTTAATGTGAACAGTGGAGGTAGACCCATCAGCAAATGTAGAGTGGATGGTGAGAGTAGAGCTGTCAGAGGATGTAGAGTGGATTTTCAGGGTAGAGCTGTCGGACTGTAGTACAGACAGTGTGGTTAGAGCTATCAGAAAGTGTAGAGTGAACAGCGGGAGTAGAGCTATCAGAGAATAAAATGTGGTTAGTGCTTTCTACATTCAATCTATGTGGCGGAAAGTAAAAATTACAATCTGCCTTCTACCCTACAACAGAAAGAATTGAGACTTGCATTATTTTTAGCAATTGGAGAAGGCTGAGAATCAAATGTGCTGTGAGCAACTGAACAGAGCTGATCACTCAGATATGCACCGAGCACTCATAGAAAATCAGACAGATCCTCTGTTAAAACAGGACATTTCAATCCTTTTAAAGAATAATACATTCATTTAAGGATGTGAGTTGGGGTTAGAGTTGTGATTTCAGTAAACTAGAAGCACCATGCAATCCAGCACTGATTCTTGTGCATTGTTTTTCTAAATGTAGCATATAAATGAAGATTATCAGTTTTTTTAGTACTCTATATTCCTTGATTTTGTTAAATAATTTTAAACCTTTTTGGGGTTAGTGATAACCACAAATCTTTTTTTTTGCAGTACCTCAGTATGATCGACTTGTTGGCGTCTGTGGATTACATGGTGAGGAACGTCCCATACCGAAAGTACAGACCAGTGGTAACACTGAAGGAAGACTGCAGAAAATGGTATGCTAGCACTTTATAAAATGTTTTCACTCCTATATAACATAGGTCCTACCAGATGTCATTTGTATTTATATACTTGTGTTGCTAGAAAAGTTTAAGTGACACTAAACTCAGGATTTAAATCTTAAAAATGCCTTCAAGTACCTTAACAATTAACAAAAATCTATCTTATTTGTGTATCACTTGGCTCGGTTCCCCATGGTCCCTGTGTGTGTTGTAAATTAGCCACCACTCCAAGCTTGCTACCATGATAGACTATAACGTCAATACAAATGAGCTAACTAAACGTGACATTTGTAGTCCGACATGGGAGCGAGCTTGGAGGGGTGAATACTTTACAACATACAAAGGACGATGGGAAATAAAAATAGCCACCCTCCAGAATGAAGGACAGTGTCAGCATGAATTCAGAGATGATTTGAGGATCTACAGCTGAGTGATACACAATAAGCTAAATTTTTATTAAAGGAGAACTATGGGGTCAGTGCTTTTCCCCATAGTTCTCCAAGGGGTCACAGGAGGACATAAACTCCCCCTCCCCCGTCCGTTCCGCCAGTTCCGCCAGTCAGCACTGGAGGATCGGAGCGGGGAGGAGTAACTCCTGAGTTAGTGTCACTGTTAGTTTTCTACAAACATTATTTCAACACGTCCAACTAAATATAAAACCTGTACCAGTGTGTTAAAAGCTAAAAGTGTATAATAGTTGTCTGTGAAGGTTCTTATTCATGCAGGTCATGGTATATCTGTAAAAAAATAAGTCAAGGCAAGTGGACTTGCTGTATTTTTCTTGAAGACTTTTCACTGGTCATCCAACCAGCTTTCTCAATTACAGGAGGACTGGTTTAAAAGAGGTGTGAAAGAGGCCATTTATGTAAAAATGGAGAATGGGGGGGGGTGAGACATCCATTGTCTGCCACATACAATACTGTTTTAACACCTCTCTCTGGGCAGGTTAATAACACCTCCTAGACTCCAATTATACAAATGCAATCAACACCTGGTTGTGATTAACAGATCATATGGATTGGAGCAACATTCACCATATTTATTCCCAGATCAATTGTTTTGTACAAGTCATTCTGAATTGAAAAAAGCTGGTTGGATGACCAGTGAAACATCTTCAAGAAAAATACACCAAGTCCAGTTGCCTAGTTGTGATAATGTTAGTTGAGAATGTTAATGCATTGACTTTGCTACATAACTAAAAGGTTAAAAAAAGATACATCTCCAAGTTCTTCCCTAGTCTTCTGGCAGTGGCCATGTTAACTAAGGGCAGATTACTAGATCTCCATTTACTTCCTGGAACTCTGGCACATGTGACTAGGACATGTGATAATGCACATCATCTCAGGGGAGGAAAATGTCTTTCCCTGAGATCTCATGAGATTACAGATGAGATTTCCCAGCAATGCACTGCTGATGTAACCTTCCCAAGATGCAATGCTTTGGCAATTACACAATTTGTTCCAAAACTTGACCAGGAAGTAAATGAACTCTATTTGTAGAAAATGGAAAACAAGTTTAACTAATAAAAGTAAGATGATTTTAAATCCGCATGCAGAGCTGCATGCTGATATGATTTTTAGTAAAAGGGGGTAAAGGTCCACTTTAAAAGTGTATTGGTTTTGCTCCTCCCCCTGAATTCACAGTCGCAAAGCTGTGAAAATGCTGCTTTCATTCATTCCTAAGGAAAAGCCATCCATTGTCTGAATGAAAGATGTACAACCTACTCACAGGAATGAATTGAGATTGGGGCATGCATGTGCTGAAAAAAAGTTAGGATGCTTTTGAAGTGGCGGTTGTGTGGCTGTCAGCAGGCCACACAGCAAACATTTTTGATGCTGTGGGAAAATGCATTTGCAATTCCTGGGAAGGGGGGTAGAGGACATACTAAAAGGACAACTGTACCAAATGAATCACAGAGGAGGATCATCCAATTGAGATTTTACACACGGACGCCCATATTTCAGAACTCAAACCATGGAGATTAGTCTTAGTCTCAGTGAGGTAACTACTGCCATAGTGACCCATGCAGTTGCTATGGGACCAGGGCAGAGGGGGGCCCAGCAACGGGGGTGGAGGAGGCCGGGGCCTAGCAGCGGCGGTGAGGTGGAGGAGGCTGGGGCCCAGCAGCGGGCAGCTCTGGGCTGACAGGTAAGAGAAGCGCACGTGTGCAGGGAAAGGGACCCCAACCCGCCCACCTCAGACCCTGCAGAGCCCACCATAGAGAGTCTTAGTTGGGCTCTGCAGTATCTATGGTGGGTTCTGCAGGGTCTCTCTCAGTTGGGCTGTGTGAGGTCTATGGGCCTATGGTGGGCTGTGCAGGGGTTGTAGGTGTGCTCTGCAGGGTCACTCTCAGGTGGGCTGTGTGGGGTCTATGGGTCTCAGGTGGCCTCTGCGGTATCACTCTCAGGTGGCCTCTGCGGTATCACTCTCAGGTGGCCTCTGCGGTATCACTCTCAGGTGGGCTCTGCGGTATCACTCTCAGGTGGGCTCTGCGGTATCACTCTCAGGTGGGCTCTGCGGTATCACTCTCAGGTGGGCTCTGCTGTATCACTCTCAGGTGGGCTCTGCGGTATCACTCTCAGGTGATCTCTGCGGTGTCGCTCTCAGGTGATCTCTGCGGTGTCGATCTCAGGTGATCTCTGCGGTGTCGCTCTCAGGTGATCTCTGCGGTGTCGCTCTCAGGTGATCTCTGCGGTGTCGCTCTCAGGTGATCTCTGCGGTGTCGCTCTCAGGTGATCTCTGCGGTGTCGCTCTCAGGTGGGCTCTGCGGTGTCGCTCTCAGGTGGGCTCTGCGGTGTCGCTCTCAGGTGGGCTCTGCGAGGACACTCTCAGGTGGGCTGTGCAGGGTCTGTGGTGGGCTCTGCGTGTGCACTCTCAGGTGGGCTCTGCGTGTGGGGTCTATGGTGGGCTCTGGATTCTCAGGTATGCTTTCCAGGGTCACTCTCAGGTGAGCTGTGCAGGGACTCAGGTGAGGTCTATGGGTCTTTGGTAGGCTGTGTGGGGTCTATGGTGGACTCTGCAGGGTCACTATCAGTTGGGTTGTGCAAGTTCTCAGGTGGGGTCTGTGGGTCTATGGTGGGCTGTGCTCGGTCACTCAGGTGGGCTGTGCGCGGTCTACGGTGGGCTCTGCAGCAGTGATCGGCGAACTAATCTCTTCTTCGGCTCTGACGTCCGAGCCAGCAGGAGCACAGTTGAAGACAAGGAGACAGAGATGGCGCAGGCATGGGAACGTGTTCTGGAGGTAGCTAATTTTTTTTTTCTGTAATATTTGTAAGAGATTAAATAGCTGCAGAAATTATGGGTCCAGATACAATTTCACTTTCTGTTTCTCTGAATATAAACTCCTATATTTTTGCAAACTCCTCCCTGACATGCTTGGTTTTATGTGCAGGTGGAACTATGCCATCACCAGCATTCTAGAAGTTCGTATTAAACAAAGGACACATATGTGGACTTGGAGCAACATAGCAGAACACAGGGAAAACCTTAAAGCCTATAAAAATGTTTACAAGGTCAAGCTGACTCAGACCAAAGTTCCTGAGGAAACGCTAAAGGAACTGCAGGTAAGCAGTGTGCACTTTACTGTAGCCTCAAAAATCCAGCTATTAGGCAGATCTAGTTAAACACATGTCTTATGAGGTTCTCATGTATCCATGTATATCTGTAAAAAAAAAAAAATTCTGAATTGAGAAAGCTGGTCAGTTGACCAGTGAAACGTCTTCAAGAAAAATACAGCAAGTCTAGTTGCTATGACTTATTTTTTTTGCAGATATAGTTAAACACATGCTACCAAGCTAGCACTGTTACATCTCATACCCACAGTCAAGGAGAAGCTGTCATAATTTGAAAAGTCCATTATGAAGACTTGTATTCTACTTGGTTTTCTGTATGTAAATCTTCAGTTGTGAATCATTTTCCAGGTTTAATTTATGTAATTGTGATGATAGCTAGGGTTGGTGTACACGGTCCCTTATTTTTCATTTCTGATGTGTGTGTATTAATGCAGTGGTTAACATTTTTGTATTTTTTTTGTTTTACCTTACAGGCTTTGGAAAACAAACTTGATGTGTTTAATATAATCCTGGGCAGACAGCAAGCTCAAGCAGAGGTAAAAATTATAATTTTGTTTCCATTTCTACTGCTAAAAAGCATATGTCATTTACAGAGAGCCTGCTATGTTTTTACAAAACATAAGAGTATAACCAAGTCCTCCTTTGTACTGTCGCTTGTGCTGAAAAGTGGTTATAAAATCCTAGCTGAGTGTAGGCAAATAAGGCTAATTTGGGAAGAATCTGTCTCATGTTGGTTCTGGGGTTGGCTGAAGGCATTTTGCTTCACTACCAGTGATGTCACTGCCCTGGAAGGCGAATAATACATTTGTAGTTTTATGTATTTTTTTTCAGTGCAAACTTTAATTAGAGATTTTTAATTCAACAAAAATAAAGCATACAGCTGTTTGTGGCTTACACAATATTCTGCAAAACCTCATGGACAGTGATAATACACATATGTGCAACACATAAATATAATCCAAGTTATTAAGAAATGATTTCTGTCATTACATTTATTTACTGTGGCCAAGGAATCTTCCCTCAATTAGATATTTTCTTGTCTTAAAGCCAGTTAATTTACATCAGGCTTAGATATTACACTTTTTTTATTACTCTCATAGGGGCCGAACGATAGTGAGTGAATAGCCAAATGCCGACGAGCGGCATTCGGCTTGGCTATTCTGCTCAGTACCTTTTTGGCAAATTGTTTTTACAGTTGCATATTCCTGCCTTATACTTTTGGAAGATGCTTCTGCATTGCAGCCTTTTGAAGCAATTTCAAGTCTGAGAGGAAAATCGGCATGTTTAATATGTATAATACTTTCCACTAATAAATTTTGGTTTTTCTCAAAGTTGTTTGTATTTTAAAGTGGACCTAAACACACCCACTTAAACCTCATGTAAGCTATAACATGTTAATGTAACGTCAAAAGTAATTTTCAGTCAGTCTTTAAAGGAGAACTAATGGGGTTAAGGCTTTTCCCCATAGTTCTCCTTAGGGGAACGGGAGGACACAAACTAGCTTCCTCCCGTCACCCTAGGCTCAGTATACCGCGAGCTGTAGCTGTAGCTAGAACTATGAGGTGAGTGAAAAGCACTCACCTCATAGTTCTCCAGTATTGCAATAAACGAGTATTAATAGATAGGAGGCACAGTGCTTTAGCAAGCTGTTATCCAGTTGGGGTTTAGATGTATTTTTTTTTTTTTTAAATATTCTTTATTTTCCAGTTTTGCATTAATAAACAACATAATAAAACAAAATAGAAAGGCACATAGGAAAACATAGATAGGGGTTAGCGGGGTGACAAAAACATAGGGACACAATCCTTTCCCGGATACTCGACAGCTTTGTACCATTCGGTCTTGCGAGCTGGCCACAGTGAACAAAGTGCATATGAACAAGATTCTGTAATCAAGAATAACTAGGCATTAAGTTCCGGGGTGGGGATGGGGGTGGGGGGGGGGAGAGGACAAGGGGGGTAGGAAGGGAGGGTGTAGAGAGGAAAAGTTAGGAAGAAGGGAAAGGGTGTACCCCTGGTCTTTGGCCATCCGCAAGCGGAGCCCTCACTATTCCGGAGCTCTTCATCGATCAAAAAGATCCGGCATGTACACCTCACTCTCTTGTAAGTATGGGAAGTGTGGAGCTAAAATGTAGGAAGATCATAAAAAACATTCTGCCAGCAAAGACCTCAAACCTCCATGTCATCATGGTGGATGGTGATGCAGCCACATGGCCCATGTGGAGTAGTGTTTATCATATCTACCATTATTCGTGGCCAGCCATTCCTGAGAAGCCTGGATGCCTGACACCTGCTCGCTCCACTCCTCCATCAAGGGGAACCGCTGTCTTCTTCCAGTAGCGGGGAATCAGTCGCTTGGCCGCGTTTGGGAGATGGGGGAGAAGACTGGACTTGTATCTAGTCACTGATCTTGGTACCGAGTGAAGGAGGAAGGGGGCTGGTGTGAGAGGTAAGTCTATGTCCAAGAGTACCTTAATTTCAGCCTGGATTTGTTGCCAAAAGGGTTGGATTGCAGGGCAGTCCCACCAAATATGGAGATGCGTGCCCAACATCCCACAGTTACGCCAGCATAGCGGTGACACAGAGGGGTATATACGGTGTAGGCTGTGGGGAACCCTGTACCACCGGGCGAGGAGCTTATAGTTTGTCTCCTGGACCTTAGAGTCTATGGAGGAAGAGTGAGTATATTTAAGAATATTGGCCAATTCCGCTTCCGAGAACCGTGTCCCCATGTCGCCCTCCCATTCTGCCAGGAAGTGCAGTGGACTCGAAGAGTCCTGTTGTAACAAGAGTCTATAGAGCAGGGAGAGGGACCTGGGGGGCGGCTCTGTTGCGGCACACAGTTCCTCGAATGGAGTGGCAGAGTTAAGGGGCCGCACTCTGGACTCTAGTGAGCGCAGAAAGTGCGAAAGTTGTCTGTGCCTCCAGAAGTCGAACGGATACGACCCCCATTTCTGACGCATCTCCTCAAGGGACATCAGCGCAGAGCCATTCAGGAATTTAGAGAGGTTCACACGTCCATCTCCCACCCAACGGCCAAGATATGTCAAGCTCTCACCCGGTGGAAACCAGGGGAACCCACCCACCGGGGCCAGGGGGGATATAGCGGGCGCCAGTTGTCTCTGTTTGTTCATGCGGTCCCAGAGCCGCAGCGTGTGGGAGGTGAGCGGGGAGGTAGTGGCGGCCAACCCCCTGAACTCTGGTAGCAACCATGGTGCATGAGCCAGGTTCCGGCCAGCCATACTCTTCTCCAATGCCACCCATAGCTTGTCCCCCACCCGGAAATGCCAGTCTAGGATTTGCTGAAGTACCGCTGCCTTGTAGTAAAGGTGCATGTCCGGGAGGCCCAGCCCACCCGACAGTTTCACTCTCCTCAGAATGGAGAATGCGATTCTGGGCTTATGTTTCCGCCACACAAAGTCTGAAAAAAGACTACGGAGATGGCGGAAAAACATGTGAGGGACCGCTATGGGAAGCATCTGGAAGAGAAAGAGCAGTCTAGGGAGGACTGACATCTTCAATATGTTTACCCATCCCTATCCTGGAGAATGCTTCTCTATCCCAGGATTTGAGGTCTCACTCTATCTGCTTAAGGAGCGGGGGATAATTTAAGGGATACAGTCGTTCAGGAGTGTGAGGCAGATGAATACCTAGGTATTTAATACTAGTAGTCGCCCAGACAAAGGGGAAGGCCAAGTATGTGGGGGGCCGGGACTGTGACAGGGAGGATCTCAGATTTCGAGTAGTTAATTTTAAAGTTGGAAAGGGTACCGTAGGTGTCTATTGCTCGGAGTATGTTAGGCAGGGATATTAGAGGCTGGGTCACGAACAGGAGGACGTCATCGGCATATGCCGCAAGTTTGTGTTCTGTGCTACCTACGGTAACCCCGTGAATATTCGGGTCAGAGCGGATAGTTCGTAACAGGGGTTCAAGTGTGAGGGCGAAAAGTAGGGGCGACAGTGGGCACCCCTGTCTGGTCCCGTTCCGAACCGGGAACGGGGTCGACAGGGCGCCATTCACCCTCACCCGTGCCTCAGGTGTCGTGTAGAGGGAGGAGATCCAAGACAGCAACGCAGCCCCCAGTCCCCGTTGGCGCAGAACCTCCTCCAGAAACACCCAGTCCACCCTGTCAAATGCCTTCTCTGCGTCCAAGGAGAGGAACAGGCAGGAAGGGGGTTGTGACATAGAGCGGGCCCAGTGTAGGACGTGAGTAGCTCTAAGGGCATTGTCTCTTGCTTCCCGCTGTGGTATAAAGCCAGTTTGATCAGGGTGGACTAGGGTTGGTAGGAGGGGTCCCAATCTGTTTGCCAATATTTTAGAGAATATCTTTATGTCCACGTTAATCAGGGAGATCGGGCGGTAGCTCTGGGGCTGCGTGGTATCCTTTCCCTCCTTTGGGATGACCGAGATGTGGGCCATCAGTGCCTCACGTGGGATATTCCCTCCATGGGCCAGGGTGTTAAGGTAATTACAAAAGTGAGGGCTTAGGATCGTAAGATATTTGTGATAATAGGCCTTCGTATACCCATCCGGGCCAGGGCTCTTATGCCCTGGGAGGGATTTGACCACCCTCTCTAATTCCAGTGAGGTGATGGGCCTGTCCAACATCTCAGCCATCTCCGAGGATATAACCGGCCCCCTGCTTTAGTCAGGTATTCGCGTATGCGGTTGCGGCGGTGGTCGTCTGTCAAGGTTGGGTCATTAGGGGGCAGGTCATAGAGGGTCGCATAATATGAGCGGAAAGCGTCAGCTATTTTGGAGGTACTAACTACCTCCTCTCCCGACCTTGTGCGCAACTTATGGACGTGTGACATTGCTCTGCGTTTCAGGTGGTATTGGCCAATGAGCAGTAGGTCTATGCGCGAGTATGTGCCATGGACACTAGAATAATAACTATAATCCCTGTCAGGGGCGTGGAGTGCGCGCCAGCTATCAATGAGGGCCAGGTTCTGTAGTGCCCGACAAAAGTGCTTCAGGGCGGTAAAAGAGTGGGAAGATTTCCCCGTGGATACGTCCAGGGCAGGGTCAGGGCTAAAATTAAAATCGCCACCCAATATGAGCATACAGTCCGTGAAGGTGAGTAGTTTGGGGAGGACCATATCAAAGAAAGTCAATTGTTGTGTGTTTGGGGCATCGATTACGGCAAACGTGACCTTTATCCCCTCAATGGAGCCCTTGATAAATAGATATCTGCCATTAGCGTCAGAGCATTGGTCCTGAACGTTGAAATGGCAGTTCTTATGAATTGCTATAG